AAGATCCCTCACGTGTATGACCACAGGCCATCTGATCAAGGCAGTTCCTCAACTGAGGTTCCCCCTCCCATGTGTCACGTATGACAGTGGAAACTAACCAGCACCACTGCCCTTTTGCATCCCATCATGCCTCCTAATGCAGTGGATGTCAGAATCCCCCTGGACCTCATCAGGTGGTGAGGCGCTTTGAGGATGGAATCAGGTGTGCTCGGTGTCACTGTCCTACTGTTCAGAGTATAACTTCCTTCATGGTCCTCAAGTGACTGTAGACCAATGTCATCAGAGTCCAGCAGTGTTAAACACACATTCATGGATGCATGACAGAATATACGAATGAACTAATCCAACTCCTCCCTCCTCCCCCAGTAGACATCTGGACTTTGAAGGAGTGGTAGCCACTTAGGAATTATGAGTTCCATGTTGTGCTAGACAAAACGTAGGAGCCTGTCCTGTGGGTCAGGTTAGTTCTTGAGGTGTCTTGTGTGATAGAGCCGAGAGACAGGATGATAGACTGGGCTGTGCTGTGGCATCTTCTCAACAGGAGGTGCTGATAGCTTCCCAGGGAAGGCACAGATGCTGAGGCCAAATGCCAAGCAAGCCTAAAGGGTTTCTTCCCTAATCTCTCAACTGCTCAGTCCTTACCAGAATTTACCAAATAGTACATCGGTTGAGAACTGAATTGTATACCCCACCCCAAATCCATTGACTGAAATATTAACCACCAGCACCTCAGAAAACAACTGTTTAAAGATGGGACTGTCAGAGAGGAGACCCAGTTAAGCTTCGGCTCCTAGTGTAGGCCTTGCTCCAATACGAGAAGGGGAAGTTAAGACATAATTACATACAGGAGGCCATGGGAGACACACAGAGAAGGTGGAGCTTACAAGGCCTGACAGGAGACCCACCCTGTGGACTTCTGGACCCCAGCCATCTGCCCTATGACCTGTGAGAAAGAAAATGATTGAGGGATTAGCCTTCTCTAATACCAAGGACAGCTGAGCTGGGGCATCTCTGGCAGGAGGCTGCTTTTAGCTCCTGGAATCAGTCCATCCCAATAGGCTTTCAGGGGTGTGGTTCACCCAACTGCTTCCTGCGTGTATTCCCTAAACTAGCCAGGTTTTCCAAATTGCCGGAGCATAGATGGGAACGGCATAGGACAAACAGATGGGCAAACATTTGGCAAATGCAGCTGCTGATGACGGAAGACACAGAAGATGGGAACTTCCCCATTCTGAAAGCAGGAATGGCACTTGGAGGAACTGACACCCAGTCTGGGAGACTGTGTCACTGTCACTGTGACTCAGGAGCCCAGGCCCCAGCCCCCCTAACCAGTGTTCTCTGTTCCTCTATGGGACTCTAGAACCCTCTTCTCCAGTGGAATGGACAGAGTCTCAGCTAGGGCCTTGCCCATATCACAGCATGGCACATTTGACCTTCCCCTAGCTTCCTAGAGGTCTTCCTCAGTAGGAGAAGCCATGATGACATTCCTAGGCTGTGTTTCCCTCTGGGAAAACTTGGCTCAGTAGACTTGAGCGTGGGGCACAGAAAGAAGCAGCTGAGAACCCTGGCTTTCTTCCCCATGACCAACGATGCCTGGAGTGTTTAAGAGAAAGGGCTCAGTGTAGCATAGGAGTGATAAACGGTTTTATCAGCCAGATGTACCCGAGGACTTGCTGTACTGGGGTGTTCAAGCCTTGGAGACATAGGGAGTCGTCACAGTGGAGTCACTGAGGGAGTCTCTTGTTAAGTGGCCGGTCATAGGCAAACTGACAAGACTATTGGCATCTGGCTGTGCAGCTGAAGATGTAAGGAGGGGCAGGGAAGAGCTGTTAGGTTGTCCCTGCATCTCAGTGTGGAAGGAGGGGAATTCTTCAGGGGACAGGGGGGCCTGGAGTTCCCTGGGCCAGTCCCAGTTCATGGTTCCAGATCAGTGGTGGATGATGAATGGGAGTGAGTTCTCTTTTCAGGGCCTTCGTTACGCTAGAGCACAGCTCGGGATCCTTGGCAGCAGAGGGCCTTTCCATGGACTCCGAAGAGCAATACAAAGCTGATGTTTAATCGGAAAAGAACTCTTACATATGAAAGTACATATGGGAACCGTTGTTTTAAGGCTCTGGTTTATAAGTCATCAGAACTTTAAAAGTAAGGACTTTAAAAGAAGTTTAAAAGAAGCCTAAGAAAGGACTCACTTTGGCTCAGCCATCTTCCCTTGACAGACTGAAGCAAATTCAAGGTATACTGTGTTGTTTCACGGTGTCAGACAACAGGAAGGAGACGCAGCATCTTCTTGAAGCTGGGATTTCAAATCAGTCATTCTGAGAGGTGGTTATCTCAGGCTGTGATAGCCTGGTGCTGTATGAGCAGTCTTTCCACTTTCGATTTCGGTGAGAGTAGATCCTAATCTAGCCGGCTTAGCCAAAATGTGTTCCTTAATCCTGCTAGGGTCCAGCATTGCAGGCAATCATAGCCACAGAACCGGTGAGCTTGCTAACTGTGTTATAGTAATGAGTTGCTTTACTTGACTCAGTATTGATTGGCTAGTGATTTACATATTGATAAACTAGTAGTGGAGAAGCTTGAGAATCCTGCTCCGAACTTTCAGGTGGTGTGTTAGCAGGGAGAGAAAGCACAGACCTTCTCACTTCCTTTCTGGGGGTGATCTCAGAGAGTCGTGTGTGATTGCCCCCATGAGTGACGTGGAAATGGAACTCAAACTGGAGCCCTACAGACATGCCTGACCTTACTGTTCATTGTTATTAAATAAAAGCTACTCAGGCAACAGGACAGGAACAGCGGACATTTGAAATGTGCTCTTATTTGTCCCGAGTGGCAGGGCATATTGTTTTATGTTGGGCTTAAGATTAATGAAAAAGTGTTTGAACAGTTTCCCTTCCCCTGTGAACAATGCGGTGGGGGTGGGTGGGCTCAAAAAACTGTTGCAAGTTTGGTGAGAATGTCCCCCAAGGCACAGGCGTTTGGATACTTGGTATCCATTGGCGGTGCCGGTTAGGGAGGTTTAGGAGGTGAGGCCTTGATGGAGGAGGTGTGGCATTGAAATTGGGCTTTGAGACTTTAAATGAGCCACACTATTTCCAGTTCATTCTCTGCTTGGTGCTCGTGGTTCAAGACGCGAGCCCCTGGCACCCAGTTCCTGCTCGCACACCCGTTGCTTGCAGCCATACTTCCCCCACCAGGGTGGATTCGTAACCCTCTGGAACTATAGTCAAACAAACCCTTCCTTCTGCAAGTTTCTTGGTCATGATGTTTTACCAGAACAATAAAAAAGTAGCTAAGAGTATATTTCCTCGGACTCTTGAGTAATGAATGAACAGAAATTGAGGCAAGTGTACTCTGGGGCCACCTGGGGTCTATGTGACAATCTTGAGTGGGGAGAGACTCAGAAATACCAGTGACAGCACTGGTCAAACTCCACCAGGAAAGTCCATGAAGGGAACGCCACCATGGAGAGGAAGTTGGTGTGCCCAGTTCTGTCTGGCTGGAGGGAAAGAATGGTTTCTAATTTTACTTTCTGTCTTGCTTCTCTGTGCTTTCCAAATATTCTGTGTCATGCCGTAGAAGGTGTGGGAGAAGGGACAGAACTGAAAACCAGTACCACCAGCCGTGGCTGGGCTGTAATCCACTGGTGTGTCATTGACAGTGTGAACTTCCAAAGGGAGAGGGGACAGCCTCAATTCTGGCGCAAATATGGGCCATACCCGTGTGGGATACGTGGTGGAGGCAGGAGCCTTGTACCTCACGCCTGCATGTGGACCACTGGGCGACTCAGAGACATACAGCCAGGGCAGAACAAGACGTGGGAGGGGACTGGGAGAGGTACTGTTGTTTCCACGGGGGAAGGCCCCAATCTACCCACATTTCCGACAGCCAAGCTCAGAAGGCAGATGTCCGAATTAGCACCAGACTGAGGAAACAGCCCAACTACAGCCCCTTTGCCCACACCCAGGACTCAGGTCTAGCTTCCCAGCCCAACATCAGGGTCTTCCTCTACAGAACAGTCAGGCACTGTATGTACGCTAACATGAGGAATGGGGGTCGTCACTGAACACGGACAGGTCTCTAGGGTCACAGTTTCAGCACAGAGGTTAAGGCGATAGTGGAACTTGGGAATACTGCTTACAAATAAGGAATGTTGAACAGCAAGAGCATATTTTCAAGAAAGCATAGACCCTGCATGTAGGGCCCGGGCCTTCCCTTGCTCCCTGGGGTGCAAATCAAGGACTGTTTTGGCTAACCAGCTAAGCTTCCTGCTAAGTTCTGTGCTCTGCTCTGCTGGCCTGGTGAATTAGTCGTAGGGCCTTGTATTACTTTGGAATGGTAATTTCCCAACCTGCCCGGGAGAGTTCATGGTGCCAAGGTCCCTCTCACCTGTCTGCCACTGCCCCACACCTCTTGCCCACCTGCCTGCGGAGGAGTTCCCACATGGCGCCAATCCCCTCTGGCTGGGAGGGATTTCTGTCACTGGGGGAAAAGGTATATTAACTCTGGATAAAACTAAATAAATTGGCATTCACCTCTTGGCGAATGACCTGGACTCTGTGTGTGTGTGTGTGTGTCTTGGGTTTAACCCCTAGGCCCTTGCCCAAGCTTGCGGTGGTATGGAGCCGCGGTCCATAACGGGAAGGTGGTGATGCGGATCTCGGGTGCTTCAACACATGCAATCTCCGTTCTGTGAACATTTGAGCCGAGGGTAAGTCCAATGACTCACAGGCAGAGTCTTCTCCTCTTTCCCACGGCTCTCTCACATTTCCCCACCCACTTTCTGTGCAACTGCATCCCCCCCCCACCTCCATTTTCTTTCCAGGCCACGATGTACCAACTGACAGGCAATCCTCCTGAATAAATGAATCACAGCATCTGTAACAACAGCAAGGAAGCATCCTCCACCCAGTCGTTCAGAAATCATTCTTGTCAAAACTCCACTTTATCTTCGGATGGCCCAAGGCCACAGGACAGGAGGGTCGGCCTCTGCCGGGTCCTACCTTACTGGCTTTTTCAGCAGTCAGCTCTCGCTTCCCAGCGTGGTTTCCCATATTGCCTCAGCGGTATCCTCGAGAACTAAAAGAGAAGAGAAGGTGTCAGCTAGAAGGTTAACACATCTGGATTTTTTTGTTGTGTTCTTTAACTAGAGAAAAATCCCACGATCCACAGCAGTCGCTGAGAATTCAGGAGCCACATCAACGTTGTCAACAAATGCTGCTCTTGGAATCTCACGGGAAGATCTAGAAAACAAAATGACACCAACTGTCTAACTCTGCCCGGTGACCAACATTTGAGCGTATGATCATCTATATAGAGATGTCTGCCCACTCAAGTAACCCTGCTGACTATTCAAACGCAAGGCACATACCCAGAGCTCCAACTCATAACAGAGTGGACCGTGGAGTGGGGAAAGGGTGGGGAAATGGCTGAGAAGTCAGAAGGACAGATGTTCTTGCTCCTCAAGAGTTGGGGTGATCGCACATAGCAAGGCCAGAGCGTGGCCCTTTCTTGTACAAGTATCTGAAGAATGTGCAGGATTTGCAGGAAAGATAAAGTGGATAAGGACACGCCCTCCTTATTCTCGTTTTCTAACCCTAGCCTTAGCAGGAAACATATACCTATTCTTTTCCAAAGGATGCACAGGCTGAAGAGTGTGGTTGAGACCATTCCCAACAGAACCTTGCCTGGCCATGAGTACTCCCCCAGTAGAGTGCCACTTATCCGGTCTGTGACCCGATTCTTCCAGGAAATCAGTTAAGGGTCACTTAAAGATATGAACACTCAAGTGCCCGCTCCCCTGCCAAATCCAGGAAAGGTGACCCAAGAGTCAAGTAGCGTAGACTTCCAAAGGAAGAATGAAGCATCACATGGCACAGCCTGAGGAAAAGGCACGCTTTGCTCTTGAAAACTCACTGTTGACGGGAAGTGAAGTGCTCGAAAACCGACTTCCTTCTTCCCCACACCTGGGGGACGCTGCAACTAATGAAGACTAAACCGTGAGTGGTAGCACACGACATAATCTCGGAACTTGGGATGTGGAGGCAGGAGCGCCAGCAGTTCAAGGCCATCCTAAGCTATATAGCTAGTTGAAAGGCAGACTGAGTTTCAAGTAGCTATATAGTTCTTGTAGGTCATAGGAATTCCTTTCTCAATTGTATAAAAACAAAAAAGAAAATCCAGAACTCACAAAAACAAAAATAAACAAAAAGAAAAAGAAAAAAGGGAAGGAAGTGGGAGAGGAGAGGAAGGGGCAAGGAAGAATGAGAGAGTAAAGAAGCGGAAGCTGACACCGTCGGAAGCTGGGGACAGGTCTCTCCTCAGTGGTCCCCCAGCCTGGGCTAGCATTGAGATGGAGTCACTAGGCTGGAGTTCCAGTGTCCCAGCCTCTAACAGGAGCTGTCATCTGACCTTTGCAGAAGGAGAGAATAGGGCAGAGTCCCAAGCTCAGTAGCTTTCTCTTGTTTGAACGGTGCGGCACTCCCCAGTTGTAATCCGTGTAGAAACATCAGCAATCTGGTGTTAATTGTGTGGTTTCCTGTCTGGATCTTATGGGACAGTAATTAAGCATGGCTGTCCCCTGTCTCTGCTTTTCCACCCATATCACTGATCTCTGTGAAGCCCTTTACGGAATAAAGCTCAACCGTACAACTGAACACAGCACCGTGAACTTATGTTGCAATTCTGTCTACAGAGCAGCGGTCACCTCTGAGCACAGGACCCACAGGTGTGGGGGTAACACAGCCAGGTGCAAAAGAGAGGCCACTCTTACTTTCTTCTGTGGGAAGGGAAAGGGCCCAGATCAGTGGTTCTCAACCTGTGGGTCACAACTGTTTGAGACTTGAAAGGCCCTTTCTCAGCAGTCACAGACCAGATATCCTGCATATCAGATAGTTACATTATGATTCACAACAGTAGCAGAATTACACGTATGAAGTAGCAACAAAAATAATTTTATGATTGGGGTCACCACAACATGAGGAGCTGTATTAAAGGGTTGCAGTGTTAGGAAGGTTGAGAACCACTGGTGTCTATGGAAGTTAGCAGCTCCAGGTGGTTCTGAAAGGCTTTTAAAGGGTTCCCTTGAGGCCACGTCAGTGGACGTGGCCACTGTGCTGGAGAAATGAAAGTTGCAGTCTTGGCAATGATTACCAATAAGGAAGAATCAGGGGATTTCTGTATCTGGTGTGTGTGGTCTTGTAGGAAGAGGCCACTTGTTTGCTTCCTGGCTGCCCAGAAACCCAAAATAATCACACAGAAACCATATTATTTAAATCACTGCTTGGTCCATTAGCTCTAGCTTCTTATTGGCTGACTCTCACATATTAATTTAACCCATTTCTATTAATCTGTGTATCACCACGTGGCTGTGGCTTACAGGCTAAAGTTCCAGCGTCTATCTCTGGTGGGCTA